CTCCTGCCTTGGAATCAAGTAGGAGGCAATGGGGGAGAATTGGGGGGAGGTGGCAGCAGCTCCCCTCCTTCCCTCCCAACCCCTGATTTATGCTTCCTCTGATGCCAGCAGGTTCTTTCCCCACTGTGCCTTGGGGCATGGAGCGTGGCCTCAGCTCAGCCTTGTGGCATGGCACCTTCTACACAAGGCAGGTAAGTGAGGGGGCAAGCTGCCTGACCCCTATTGCCTGCCACTGCTTTGCCTACTGCAGTGGTGGTAGGGATGAATTTAAGATGTGTCTCTGATAATTAGATGTTATCCATGGCAAAATTGTAACGTATACATTTTTGCTGTATAGAATAATTATTAGCAGATGGCAGGGATTGTCTTAAATTCAGGGTCATCTGCAATTGGGCTTAATACAGCATATTTTTGTGCTTGTTTGGAAATCTTGAAATTCTACTTCTGTTGATCTCCTTTGGGTGAGGTGGGGGAATACATATATAATCATTGACTTTTTACTACTTGTAAACAGTGCTAGTGTCTCCAGTTGGTGAATGGTCTTCCCCAAGCATTGTCTACAATAAATTCTGCTGACACAGCTGTATTAGTCTTACACTGTTAAGTCAAAACCTGTGTCAAATCCCTGGTGTGGATTTAGCTTAGCCAGCAGAGCCTCAGCTGTTCTGGGGAGCTAGTATAGGTCTGACAAACTCCCTTGTTAATAATAGTGGCTCTCACCAAAGTACTGCTTTAGCTAAAGCAGAGGTGTAGCCTAAGTCAGAATATGAAATATGTATATTTGAATGGGCGGTGTATGTGTTCCATTATTATTTATACTACCATGCTCTTGCCAATGTCTATTTAAAAAAGAGTTCAGTGGTGGTGTTGAGATCTAAATGGGGCAGCCAGCCAGCCAAGGAAGCATAAGCTTGCCAATCAGTAACTGCAGCGCAGTCTTGCGGTAACATGATGTTCGGGGTAAAATAGGATATGGACAAACAAGTCAACTGTAGTAGTCAGTAGAGCCTGGACCTGTCCATAAGCAAGTGAAATTGGGCTAAGCTGTCCCAGTTTAGTTTTCAGGTAGTGTGGTGTTAAGAGCCAGTTTTCAGCTGCTCCCCAGTACTCCCTGTAATTGGACTGTGCTATCCATTTCCTAGGGGCCGTGAGGCCAGGGAAAAGAACGAGAGCACTCGTATCTCGACCAGAAATGGATGGATGAGGGGGAGGCATGCCCGCCTTAGCTCTGAGAGAGAGCATTTTCTCTGAATCCCTGGAGACAGTAGTAGGTATTGCAATTTACTACGTGACTTCTCACTGCATTGTGCTTGGGTTTTAACAGCTATTGTAATGGCCTATTTTCTCCCCCAAGCATTTTTGATATACAAGATAATGTGGGGAGGATGGTACTGTATGTGCTTCCATACAGTACCATCTTCTTGACCAGTCTCCTGGTCAAGAGACATCATTAATTAGTCTCAGCACGCAGCTCTTGCCTGTTGTCCTCGTAAGTGGAGGTTTCTGTCATGTTCTTAGTAAACTTGAAATGCCTTCCCACTAATGTCACCAAGTGAGAAGTCCTCGCCTCTAAAAAAGAGTCGGACTGTCTTGGAAGACTGTTTAATAATGCAGAAAAGCCTGAAGAGAAGCTGCTGCTGCTTTGTTCTCAAAAGTAGGAGACTGTTCAGCAACTGCAATTAAATAAGTTATTCCCCTCTTTGGATTCAGTTGAGGTTTCTAGCAATTTGCTGTTTTTTCCTGGTAAACATCTGACTTTCTCACACAGTTTTTACATTTTTGTCTTTTAAAAGCAAACAGCAATCAAAATACAAATGTCCAAAAACTTTCCACAGCCTCAGGATCCTGGACCGTAACCTGGAATGGGAAATATTCAATGACGTGATTTGAGCAAGGGTATGCAGTTGCATAGTGAGGGGAGCATAAACCTCTGTGCATCCTGGTGCTACGTGGGAGTGGAGGTGCGTGGCACTCTGCAGGTACAGGCCTTAGCTGTCATCTGTCAACCCTTCTTCTATCTTCAAGTGCTTGAAAGCAGACCCACAGAAGAAAAAAAAACCGTGTCAATTGGTCAGTGGCTATTTCCAGCAATTATGGGAATGAGACGCATACTTTAGGAAAACAACCGCAAGAGACCTCGGTGTGGAATGACTTCTCTGCAGTATATAAAAAATACCTGTCTGGACAAGGATTCTGTATGTGAGCTTACAAATGTTTCAAAATGCTCTAGCAAGTGTGCAAAATAAGCATCCCTTGTACAAGCTTATCTGTGACACTAAAATATCCAAATTCACCAGGCTGCCATCAGATGAAAGACTTCATTTACTACCCAGGCAAATGCTGAGCCATACATTTCAGAACTAGGCTATATTTTTGCAAAGGAGGAAGCATAGGTGCCAACTTTTATTTTTGCTGGGGGGTGGGGAAAGAGAGCTAAGATGATAGACACCTGGAAAGTTATGTATTTCAGGGGTGGCCCTCTTCCAGAGGGGAGGCAGAGCACTTGGGGGTGGGGAAGGGCATGTAGTCGTCATCTCTGGGAGGAAGGACAGCAATGAGAGACATTCCTCATCCCTGATCCTTCTTATTTGACTGTGTTGGAATAAATCTCTTGACTCCCTGATCACCAAGAGAAGTATTTGTATGCAAGTTTCAGGGAATCTGTTTTAATTTCTTTTTGGGAAAGTCATATTTGCACTTCAGAATCTGTCCTGGAGCTGATTGACCCCTGAGCTAGTAATAAGGAATTACTAAAAGCATAACTATGCATGTAACTGTCCAGTTGCGGCAACAGAAGGGGATATAAAGCAGAGGGGGGCAAGCATTTAAGCAGAACATGTTGTGGGTGGGAGAGAGGATGGAGCTGGAAAAACAATGTATTTTTTATGGCACAATTTGCACCTTACTAAGAGGGAGAGGAATTTAGTTCTGGTTTTTGCTGAGCAGTGTGCACCAAAGAGAAATGTGGTCAGTGATAGTGTATGAACATGATTCAGTGGAAAAAGCAGAACCAAAAAAATGAGATCATAGAGCACATTCTGAAAATGCTGCTCTGCCCAACTTCCTGAGGCTTTTATTACTTGCTAGAAAGTTTTAGACTAGTAAAGTGCCTTTGATGTTAGATAAGTGTAGGCTGTGAAGTCCTCTAAGCCAAGATCCAGTAAAGTACAGGCAATGACAGTGCAGGCTTTATCCTTTTATCCTGCCAACAAATCTTGGATGGACCCTGCAGGGCATTAGCTGTGGAGTGACCAGGCTGGCTTGGTCTCTGAGCATACAGACGGAACAAAAGAACAACGTCCTGGAGCAGACAAATTGGAGCGTCTTAATGAACAGGGGTCCTTCACATTCACTGCATCCAGGGCAACAAAGACAGACTAGAAATCAGCAATTGCTGTCATCTGTCAGCTGAGTTACATTTGTGCCTGTGAAAGTGGTGGAAGGATTTATATTCCACTCCCAAGTTCTTCATTCATTCTTTGCTTTTTTATTACAACCAATATATTTTAATCCTTTCTGAAGCAACTTCTGCAGTGGCTTCCTTCTTACACTTGTTTCTGCCCCCAAGCTTTTCTGCAGTGACTATCTCTAAGACCCTGTTAGCAGGTTGCAGTATTTCCATGTGCAAATCCTCAGAGAGAGGATTTAAACTTGGAGCCAGAGCTGACCACACGATGTCAGTGTTTGATCTTGCATAGGGAAAACTGGTTCCTGCAACTGTTTCTTCCCCCTCTCTTTGAAAGTCTGCCTCCATGCTTGCTGGGGTGTGGAATGCACATGCTTGTTGGTTGGGATGTTTTTCTGGAACAGCAGATGTGGTTGCAAAAAATAAGCAACGTTTGAAACATGAACTGTTGTATGAAGGCCAAAAGACTTCATGCTTCAGTTTTAAAGAAATCTTGCATAGACTGTTGATGCTGGCATGTAGGCTGTTTGGGCTCAGTCCGGGTTTTCTCAAGCTCGGTCTTAACCCAGCTCCTCCATATTGCCTGGGGGATATGGTTCCCTTTCCTTGACCTTCCTAAGTCCCTGATCGCAGCACTGAAGCCAGGCAGCACTCAGCTGAATTTCTTGAGAACATTCTTCAGCCATGCAAGTGGGAAAAGGACAAAAGTCCCTACCTGGGGGAAAGCTTTGCTGCAGCAGCTGCTCTTGCACTATCCAGAAGCTGCAGGCGGATACTCTTCAACCCCGCATGCTGTTTAACCCATCTGGCTCTGGGACAAGCCATTGCCTAGAATCAGAATTTGGAGCTCCCTCCTGCCTTTCTTGCCCCTCACTTCCAAGCTCTGGTGGGTCTTGTGGATTTTGCACTGGCCCAGCCTGCCACTGGCCATATCCCCTTGCTCAATGGGCCACGAAGAGCCCAGCGGGCCAGATGCAACAGTTCCACGAGCTGGATCCAAGTAGTGGGCCATATTTGACACCTCTGCTCTGGTTCCTGTGTGTACAGGTAAAGCCTTTCCTGGTTTAACACAGAATTGAGTTGGGTTTGCAAATCTTTTGTGCTCCTTCATAAAAATCTACCGACAAGTGTGTTTATGAAATGCATACTTCCAGCCCTAGACCACCACAAACTGCGCCCTCCCTTTCCCCAGCTACCTCCTACCAAACACAGAAAGAGGTGGTCTCATTTTGACTTTTACTGCTGTGTCAAGTTTCAGACCTCTGGCTAGAAGGAGAGTGACCTAGGTTTCCTTTGTTTCCTTTTTTGGACTGGTAGTTAATATAATCAATTTTTCAGTGGTTTCTTCACTCAGGCTTTTAAGGACATTCTAATGCCATTTTTGTTGCCTCCTAGTAATAAATACTTCTGCCTTCTCCACCTGCCAGCTCATCTTTTATTCATCTTGCTGATGAAAACAGAAGCCAAATTGCACATGGAGCTTGGTCTTGCTGACAGAGGATTCAAAATAATTTTCCACTGCAAAAGGCACCGGTTCATTTTCTAGTTAGCTTAACAATTTTCTGTTTCTCTGATGCAAGTTTCCTAAGGAGTTAAGAACCATTTTTTAGTTCTTATAATTTTTTAGTTCCTAATATTGCTGTATGATCCAACAAAGAAGGGACAGGTCAGAAAATACAACCGGACATATTTTAGCAAGATAAAATAAAAATAACCACTGTCTAGTATGTCACATTCCTACTGCAGAGGGCAAATGCAGCACCAAAAACCAAACGGCTTTGAAACCAGCGGTAGGGATTTGAACAGCTATGCCTAATGCCCTACTTCTGTGCTTCATTTTACTTGCATGGGTACTCTGACTCGCAGAGTTACTTATGCTGCTCTGTGTTTGTAAGACTGGGGGCCATGTATACTTCTCAGCTGGGGAGGCACCCATCATTTCAAATCTGACTGCCACTTTCATTCTCTGGGGTGTGTGCGCTGATTAGTAGAAGAGACTTGGGCAGAGAGAGGAATTCTGGGGGAAAAAAAGACTGGTTGAAATCTATTCTCATTACTTTTTCATTTATACAGTTGCACTACTTGTTTCGGTCAAGGGGCTTGCTCATACAAATGACAAGCACAAAGCTCAGGATGCTAGTAACATATTCTGCATGATGTCAGCTTAATTACTAGTGTCTCTTTTGCTACAGACCACCAAAAGGACAACAGCTCTGCATATTGGTAATCTAACGCCTGTGCTCCAGCTTCTTTTTTCAAATGAGTTTAGTAATGCTGACATCTTTGAATAGATGCAAAACTTTTCTGTAATCATGAAATCATCATGTAATTGTTTGATTTTAAATATATTTTTCCTGGGCTGTGATGTGTAAATATTGCATTGGGTGTTCCAAGCAGCAAAAAATGAAGGTGAGGAGATATGGGTATTAAATTAAAAACATTTATTGATCCCATCCTTGGAAATGTTTTTTTTACAGTTCAGCTGAAAACAATTACAGCCTCCTGCTCCTCAATGGGTGAAATCCTGGTTCTGCTGAAGCTAATGAGAGTTTGGATGCTGATTTCAATGGAGAGAAGATTGCACTCTTGTCTCTGCTGGGTGGTTCAGGTACCTGTGTAGGCCCAACTTTATTTTTTAAAGTGGTGATAAGTCTAAATACAAAAGGAATTGATAAGTTTCTTAAAGGAGGCAGAAAAGCTCCAACTGTCAGCAGAATCTATTATTATCTGTGAAGTGATGTGAACGCTTCAACAAGATTGAACCAAGTGCCCTGAGGCAGGTCTCAGAGGATTTGGGTTCCATCTTGGGGAGAAACAGATTGTTTTGTTCTTTCTGAGGCTTCACTTGAATA